ATGAGCTTAATCTAACATGTGAATGAAGTTAGAACCGTCACTAGTCAGACAAGTTGAGTCGTCTTCTTTTGGATGGCGGCTCAACAACGTCTCTCTCCTTCAATATTGCAATCAAGGACAAATAATTCTTACTCAACTTTTTATCACTATTCCTCACATTCAAATTATTCCCTAATCTATTAATTTAATAGCGTCTCCTATCTTCCTTTTAACAGCAGACGAACCATAATCAGCAAACTTACTCGTTTGAGACCATTCTGTCTCTTGTCCAGTCCTTGCCCTGTGTTCGGCAGGCAAAATAGGTGAAGAAGTCGATCTATGGACGCTATGCTCAAACTTATTCCTTGTGTGATCTCCAGATGCTCCTCCAGAGATCACAAACACATACACATTCGAGCAAAAGTAGCAGAACCAATACGAAAGATAATTAGCCAAACCATTCGATATCTATCTAGGCCTTTTAATTTTATTTTGCTTAACTGAGTCTGTATAAGAGGTAAGATAGAGCTGGATAGTCTTCTTGACTTAGTATCAACGAGAGTTTATTACACGAATGAATTCCAGCTCTGATGAAGTTCATCATATGATGGACAAAAGCTAAGCCCGTTTTTACTCGAAACACGGGAGGATGCCTCGTCGACTGCATCAACCTGAACGACATAGTAAAGCCAAATGGCTGCAGTACAACGGGAGTCAGCTATGGTCTTCTGGTGAGAGTAGCCCATGAATCTCTTCTTCACTCCCTTTCATACCAAATGAAGGTCTCCCTAACAATTTTATTTTAGGAGATTCATCGAAACCCTGTTACTCTTTGTATCTTAAAAATATCATTCTGACAAGGAAAATGATATATTTTATCAGGCTTCTTTGTAGAAATTAGAGACAGATAATAGGGAATGAGGAAGACTATTTAAGTTCTTATATATTAAATCTAGACTCAGGCACAATATGAGTCGAATTCCTACTCTTGAGGATATCCTGACACTATAGAATATGACAGAAAAAATGGCGAAAAGGATCTCAGACTCAATCGTAAAAAGGCACTGCAAAAAGCTAAAGAAATATGTGATATACAGGCAACTCAAGGTCCAGCCACTCAGCAAAAACGAAGATGCCTTTATAATGACTAATTTTGCTGTGATTATAGTACCGAATCTGTCTTGTGTTTCTCTTGGCCTCGAAAACACGGCTATCCTTAAGAAGGGTGCAAATTTTGCACTTCGGAATGAAAGGAAAACAATCAATGACACTTTAATGAAGGTCATATGAAAATCTGAGAAGTAGCCGAAAGAATGAATATACCACTTCCACGGTCCTACTCTGAAAATGATGATGCATACAATGGACTCTGGACTAGGTGCGTTCCTCTAAGTTTTCCAATATATATGACCAAGTTGCGAAAACAAGGTCAAAAAGCTTCAATAAAAAATATAGCTCGAAATGGAAATCATCCCAATAATCTTGATCCATCAAGAAACCACAAATAGGAACAATATAGCCAGGATATATAGATTATTTAGAAGAAACTATCAAATAGTTTTACAATCCGCTAAAGGAAGTGCCACAGCAGTGATGGACAGGAAGGAATACAGAAGTGAAGAATATTCTCGGGTCATTACAATGTGTCGAATTCTAATAAAATAGCCAATATCTAAGAGCAAAGAGGGACTGTAAGAGATGCAGAAGGGAATAAGTACGAACGGGGACGTCGATGAATGGGTAATAAATTCATTCCTACTAAAGGATGCAAGAGTCCCGATAGCATACGATTTGAAGAAGGTATACAAAGAAGGAGAACCATTAAGACAACAACAAATACGGAGAAACAGATAAACCGGCGTCTACATCAAGCTAAAGAATTTTAATGACAGATTATCGAACACAGTGAAGAATTAACAAGAATTTCGGCGAAGAATCAAGGGCACCAGTTTGGAGGGAAACGGACTATTGGTGAGTTTGATGTGCAATTAGTGTACATCAACCTCTCGGGAGAAAAAGGGCTTACGGCCTCGAGGCTGAGTAAATCCGAAAAGAAGCTTTTACTCAATTAATCAACTTAAAAATAAGATCTACCTATTTCACATTCAACGGTCGCATGTATGAGCAAATGTTTAGTCTGTCTATGGGCCCACAACTTTCCCCCCTGTTGGTTAATGTCTACATTAACAAGTTGGAGGATCATTTCAAAGCGTCACCTCAGCAGCCAACAGCAATTATGCTGGTTGCATGGAAAAGAAAAATTAAACGATTTCATGTTCTTCTTACACGACATTGATGAAAAAGTCAAATTTACAATGTGTGTGGAAGAGAACAAACATTTACCTTTGTTGAATGTGAAGGTAAGAGGAGACGCTCAAGAAAAAGCTGTTCCGAAAAAATCGCATGCAGTAATAATCCTTAACTTCCAGCCTCAGCATACTTATGGAATAAGAATATTTGGATACTCATGTGTATGGTCATAAGAAGCCTGCAACAAACTGAGTTTGAATTCTAGGACGAGGAACTGGAAAAATTAACTTAAATATTTCGTGAAAACGAATATCCAGGAGAAGCAATACAACACAATATATGGATAGTGATTATCAGATGGCAAGACAGTATTAAGAAAGGAAAAAAGATTGATATGTCTATCCTCCTGCGAAATGGCTCTAAAGCTACGGTCGCTACTATTGAAATGGAACATTTATACAATAATGGAGGAAAGAACAACCCTCTTCAGCTTGCCCACACAGCGTGAAGAAGTCAACAAAATAGAGTCCTCCGGAGTTTACAGCATTAGCTACAAGGACTGTAAAAAAATAGATCGGAGAGACGGGAAGGGTAATCAGCACAAGGATCAAAGAACCCCAGCAATTCTGCAGAAAAATAGATACGGAACTATCGGAAATAGTTGAATACATCGCACTTGCCTGCCACACAATTGACTGGAGTGCAACGAGAAGACTGGCCTTATATGGGGAGAACACTAAAAAACGTAAAATCAGGGAGGCTGTGGACATCCTCTTTCAAAGAAACCTGATGGACCGGTGATTGGAAGAGGGAAGCATAAGCGAGCATTTCACATGCTGCCTAAACAGACTTGGAGACTCAGCTAAGACAGCAAAAAGAGGACGATTGGATCAAGGACGTCTTTTCAACAACAGGAAGAGACATCGCCAAGAAGAGGAGTATGAAGGATAAAGGGAAGTGAAGAAAAGGCCGAAGGGAGGAAAACCTGGAATCAGCCTGAAGCTACCGGCGTGGCTCGACATGTGCGATTCTAAATAAAAGGCCATAAACATACAAAGTATACACCATTAACTGTGCTTGGCTAATGATCAAAGTCCATTTCAAATTCATTATGGTGTGAAAACTGAGCTGGGGTACACAATATCAGTTGGTCCACAGTGTGCGTGTGTGTGTGCTGTGTGCACTTTTCGTATGAATGCCTGTAGCGAGAGGCGGCTGATGATATGCCTGACTAGGGGAGCTACGAACCAACGTACACATGCACAACTGACTATAACCTTCGGATTAGGTGGTATTGGCAACCTAAGAGACAATCGCATGAAGCGATTCAGAACTGGAGAAGGGAAACGGTTCATCTTCACACCAGTGGTTCCGAATCATGCCAGATATTTTGTCTCAGAGAATGAGGGAGAATGGGATGGGGATGAGAAGGAGCATAATTGAGTGATGGGTAACGCCAAGTATAACCATCGAATCTGTAGATTCTACTCCAGCCAAGTATTAAAAGTTTGGACAATTTTATAGCAGGCGAAGGGTGAACCAAATTCACGCTTGATGGTATCTTCTCAAACATTCAGGCAGAGATCGGCGTGTTGTAACCAATAGGAAAGGTTATGTTTGAAACAAGATGTGCATTTACGAGCTTTTCGGAAAAACCGACAATTTCCATAATGGAGCTGCTCAGCAATTAGCCCAGGCTTGGATTCCGTCATTAGTGTTGCGAATGAAAGGAGGAAAGAGAAGTAAAAATGAGGCCGGCAGTATGAACCAACAAGTGGGTATTCAGTATATTGACTTAAGTTTAGGAGAGGCCAACCACAGAATGACTAGGAAAGTTCATGGTAAGAAGTTCAAGTACCTGACCATTAGGCTCCGTTCTAATGATTTAAGGAAGAAAGTGATAAAAGTAATTTTCAAAATTTTTTTGCTAAAAATAAGATAATTAACTATCTGGTGTAACTCTGGAGCCTCTCGATAGAATAAAGTGAGCCATTTTCTTGCCATATAGGTTGCTTATCAGATTGATTAACCTAGGAAGTCAAAAGAATATTGAGATGAAGGGGATTTTTTAATTTTATTAGGTAGTTGTGCCAATAAATTTTGTGTTCTGTGTGGGGTTTCTAAATATTTAAAAGGTAATAATCTAAACGTTCTAGAAGCTGACAGAGGTGGAACAGCTCCGTTATAGTTATCACTTCACTTACAATCGTCCAATATGTTAGATTAAGCTCATCCACCCAACCAGATGTACGATATTACGCAAGCTGCAATCATGCCTTTCCTTGGGTTATTAAACTTTAAAAATCCTGGACCCACAGGCTATGTTGGATGGTTTCGCAACCTTAGACTCGTAAAGCTTTACATCTTATCATCTCAATCATAATTACTTTTAGGCTCATGCAATTTCGAGAATGACAGTAGATCTTGAATAAGAATTGTGTTTATCTTGATTCACGTTAGGTGATGAAGAACTGGTAGTTGAATTTGCCAACATTGATATGAGTGGACCTCACGTTTCCAGTGAATTTTGTTAGGAGGACTTTCATTTCGTATGAAAGTAAAGAAGATATTTATTGGTCGTTCTCGCCAAAGGAGGACGGATAAATCTCGTTATACCGCAACCGTTTGGCTTTTATGCGATATTCATGTTGACGCAGTCCGCGAGACTTCCTCCCTCGTTTCGGGTGAAAACGTACTGAGCTTTTATCCATCATATAATGGACATCATCAGAGCTGGGTGTCATTCTTGCAAAAGTCTCACGTTAACACTAAAGCAAGAACACTATCCAGTTCTATCTTACTACTTATATAGACTCAATTGAGTCAAAAGAAAATTATAAACCTAGATATATCGATATAAAGTGGTTTGATTAATTAACTTTCATACTGATTTTGGTAATTTTGCTCGAGTGTATGCGTATTTTTATGTGTGCGTGTTAGCGTCTATATGCAATACGGTTCCTAAATCAGAGTTGTTAAAGGTTTAATCTCAGGTTCTGATCCTCAAGGCCTAATGACCCAAGAGAAAGCCTTGAAAGAGACTGCGTAAGTCCGTAAACAAGTATGGTTGAGCTTGTAAGCATGATAATCAAGTTACGAAACCACTTATCCTAACCTTTCAGTCTAGGGTCATTAGCATGTAAGCCCCCAAGGAAAGGCAAGATTGGGGTTGCGTGATCTGACATGTCTGGTTTGGTTGATGAGCTTACTCTAACATGTTGGACGAATGTGAGTGAAAGTAGAACCATTACCGAGCAGACAATTTGAGTCGCCTTCTTTCAATAGCCCCTCTTATCTTTCTTTTAACCACAGATGTATCATAATCAGCAAACCTACCAGTTTGAGACCATTCTATTTCATGCCCAGTTTCTACCATATGTTCTGCCACTTCTGACCATTAAATCCAGCTTCCTTTACAAGCATTTTTGTGTTCTACCAATCTTTGTCGAATAGATCGGCATGTCTCACCAACATAACATCGACCACATGAGCAAATAATCTTGTAGCAGCCGGATCTCGATAAGGGGTCATATTTCTCTCTAAAAGATGGCATAACAAAAGAAAGTGTGAGGGTTTCTTTGAACACTGTTTTTATGCGCCACTTCTTAACTAATTCGCCTATCTTTTCTGAGAGAAGACATGACGGCAAAATTATGACATGGGAAAAAGTCTCAATCTGTCTATCTTTGACTAAATGATCTCCGTCTGAATATGTATTCCTCAGAAGAGAGATATTATTCTCAATAAGGCCCAAAGAATAATTTTTTTATAGGAATATATTTGTCAGCCGTTCAAAATCCTTAGTAAAATGTTTATTATCAGTTAGCTTCATACTTCTAAGAATCATTTATTTCAAAATTTCAATCTTATTCTTGTAACTATGGTTGGAAAAAAAGTTAAGTAAAGAGCCAACATATGTTAGCTTTCTATAAACATCTCTTCCCAAATTACCCTATTCTCTAATAATAAAAACATCCAAAAAAGATAAGGTCTTATTCTC